CAAGCGATCCTACTGCCCCAGCCTCCCAGGTAGCTGGGACTACAGGCATGCGCCACCATGCTCGGCTAATTTTTTTCTATATATTTTTAGTTGTCCAATCAATTTCTTTCTAATTTTAGTAGAGACGGGGTCTCGCTCTTGCTCAGGCTGGTCTCGCACTCCTGAGCTCAAACAATCCGCCCGCCTCGGCTTCCCAGAGAGCTAGGATTACAGGCGTGTGCCACCGCGCCTGGCCTTCTTTTTACCTATTTATTTTTTGAGACGGAGTCTCACTCTGTTGCTTGGGCTAGAGTGCCATGACGTCATCATAGCTCACTGCAACCTCAAACTCCTGAGCTCAAGCAATCCTCCTGCCCCAGCCTCCCGAGGAGCTGGGACTACAGGTGCACACCATCACACCTGGCTAATTTTTTCTATTTTTAGTAGAGACGGGGTCTCACTGTTACTCAGCCTGGTCTTGAACTCCTGAACTCAAGTGATCCTCCCACCTCGGCCACAATGTGGCCAGCCCCGGATGTGATCCTGGAATAGGAAAAGGACATTCGGTGAAAACTAAGGATTTCTGAGTAAACTATGGACTTGAGTTTGTTAATATTATTGGTAATAATAAGTATTAATATTGGTTCATTAATTACAGAACACGTACCATACTAAGATGTTAATAATAGGGGAAGCTGTTAGGGGAATGGAGGGGGTGTGTAGGAACTCTCTGTTCAATAAAAATAAGTAAAGAAATAGATAGATAAATAAAATAAAAATAGCAAGGCCCTCCCTACCTCACAGGGTGGTTATAGAGTTCCCATAAGAACTCAACAGTTTGGGCTGTAGAGTGAAGTCTTAAAGGGAAAAAAGAAAAAGAAAAAAAGAACTCAACAGAGCACGAAGTAAACCAATTATAAATATCACGTATTATATGACATGTCCAGAATAGGTAAAGCTATAGAGACAGAAAGCAGATTAGCCACTGCCAGGGGCCGGGGAGAGTGACTGCTAAGGGGTACCAGGTTTCCTTCTGGGGTGATGAAAATGTCCTGGTGCTAGAGCAAGGTGATGGTTGCATGACATTGTGAGCGCATTACGCTAAATGCACCGAATTGTTCACTCAAAGTAGTTAATGTTATGTGAGTTTCACCTACAAAATGTTACATAGACATTAGATATGACAGTTCTAAAACCCTTTATTCTTCTGTAAGTCAGACCCAGGCCTTTAGAACTCCAAAGCCCAGGGCTTTCTCATAAACCCACATGGGCAGTCTTGGAGGGAAGTGGTATTGGCATGGTGAGAAAAAAATAAAACCCGTGCCTTGAAGTGGAGCCCCTATTCTGCCGTTTTCTAGCTGTGTGGCCTTAGGCAAGTTACTGCACCTCTCTGAACCTGTTTCTCCATCTGCAAATTGCATGATTGATGGGACTATTCAATGAAACCCACAGCACAGACTCAGGCACTTGACAAGACGTGGAGGCAACAACCATTCCTTCCTGTCCTCCTTATCCCAGCCGCCCGACTGGGTTGGTGGCTTTGCCCACCCCCATTTCCCCCTCCAGAAACCACCCTCTTTAGTTATAAGGTGCTGAGAACAAATGCATGACATTTCTTCCAGTGATCCCTTGCTGGCACACAGGTCAGGATCATTCCTGCAGCAGACAGACTCCAGGCCAACCCAGAGTCAGCCAAGAACAAAGCAAACACTACAGCCTTATCTCGGGGGCGTGGGGCGACTGACTATAAGGAGAGCGGCCACTGGTCATCTCAGCCTTTCTTCTCACTCACCTCCTTGACTACAAGATGAAACTCCTTGTGCTGGCTGCTCTGCTTGCGGGTAGGCAACTCTCCCCAGCTCCACCCTCCTTCCCCTTCCTGCACTAAGATCTCACTCCTCTGGAATCCGGGACATAGGTCACAACAGACAGGGCTGGCCAACCCTGGAGTCTCAAGTCAAGGTTCCCTAGGGGCTTCAGAGCTGCCATCTTGGGGGTTCCCTCAAATCCCTCCACCACTGGTATCTTTTCAACCTGCAGGTCTGAACTCACAGGATCCTTCTCTGAAGGGCCAGCCCTGCCCGCCCACGCTAACAAAACCTGCCTTCTGTCTCCCTACCATATTGCCTTGGTACAGCATCTTCCCAGAACCTACCTTTGCCTGCAATTTTTATCTTGTTGATTCATTTAGTTTCTTCTCTCCCACCCACACTGAAGGGGGGGCTCCATGAGTGTAGACAGTGTTGTTGGCACCGTGTAGTGAATGAATTGATGGAGTCAGACACATTGGAATTCGAATCCCAGCTCATTCATCCGTTGTTCATTGATTCACTCAACAAGGATGGAGACCCCCAAGGTGCCAGGTTGTGGTGGAGGCCGAGGACTCAGAGATGAGTGCTCATCCTTCCACTGGAGAAGCACACGCACGCACAGACACACACACACACACACACACACACACACCACAAGCCGTGGCTTTGTGCAGGTCTGGCCTCGGCAAAGAGCAGAGCTGGCTGGATCGGAAAGAGAGAGAGAGAGAAGAGAAAATGAGGGAGTTCTGGAGACGGGCCAGGGTAGGCAGCCCCCTCCTTTCTGAGAGAGGCCTCTGCTCCAGGATGCAGACTCTGTTAGCTGCCACTGTGGAGACCACCCATAGGGGACCAGCTGCGTGTGGCCCTGGGGTTTAGACACAGTGAGTGGCCCGCAGTGTCCAGCAGATGGAGAACATGAAGGACTAGGCATGGGGCAACAAGACAATGCTGGTGGCTAATTGAACAGGACCCTGAAAATACTTTTGTGCCTTTTTAGGGCACCGAATCTCACAGGGTAGGGTTTTTATGCAAATGGGGGGCAGGGTTCTGGTCCCCTGAATTTGCTACACAAAGCCTTGTGCTTGATTTGGGCAAACACCCTTTCAGCTAGAGGCAGGATTTCTTCACTCGTTCAACAAAAATTTATTGAGCACCAAATTTATGTGCCAGGTACTTTCTTTAATTCATCGATTAACTATTTCATTCATTTAAGTCATCCTGTATCGATTGAGTGCCTACTATGTGTCAGGCACAATGCCACGCTCTGGGGAATAAAAGCCAGGAAGCCACCCTTGAGGAGATCATGGTCCTGCAAGAGAGAGACATTAAATAAACAGATGGGTATAAATTGTTAGAAGGACCATGAAGCAAAGAACATGAAGAGAAGTGACATCAGGGGAGCCATGTAGCTGGGGTGACCAGGAAGGGCCTCTTTGAGGACATTGCATTTAATCCAAGATCTTCCCGCCTTTTGAAAATCAAGATGACAGAAGCGCCAGGCAGGGGAAACAGCAGGTGTGTGCAGGCCTGGAAGCAGGACAGAGGTTGTCCTGTTGGGGACAGGGACAGGAGGCCAGTTGGCTACAGTGAAGGGGGCAGCAGAAAGGTGGTAGAAAATGAGACAGAAGAGATGGGCAAAGGCCAGATCTCAAGGGCCTTCTGGAGTGGGACCAGGAGTTTGGATTTGAGTCAAAAAGGGCTGGGAGCATCCACTGAAGGAAGAACAAGATTCAACTTAAGTTTAAAAAACAGGCCAGGTAGGCCGGCACGGTGGCTCACGCCTGTAATCCTAGCAATTTGGGAGGCCAAAGCAGGAGGATCACATGAGGCCAGGAGTTCAAGACCAGCCTCAGCAACATATCAAGACGCTGTCCCTACAGAAAATAAAAGAATTAGCCAGGGCCAGGTGAGGTGACTCACATCTGTAATCCCAGCACTCTGGGAGGCCAAGGCAGGAGGATCACTTGAGCCCAGGAGTTTGAGGCTGCAGTGAGGTATGATCATGCCATTGCACTCCAGCCTGGGTGACAGAGCAAGAACCCATCTCTTAAGAAAAGAGGAGAAAAAAATACATGAACACCTGCCTCATCATTTCAATGGCTGCAGAGTACTCTGCTATGGGCCATACCCTGATTTATTTAACCAGT